TATACTTCTCATTTAAATGTTTAACCTTTCACATTCCTAGTCCCTTCCCCTCACCCTCCTGTTCTGTGTGGACAGCTCACAGCTATAAGCTCACCAGCCCTCTAGTGGCAAGTCAAAGCTGCAGGTTGGAGATAGTCAGAGAAAGCTTTTTACCTGAACATGTAACTGCTCTAAACCCAAACTAACATGAACATCAGTCAGCATCTGATAAACTTAAAGTGCAATGTGTAGCGAGGCCCTAAGAACCGAATGGCTATGAAGAACATACTAACTTCACTTATAGGTGGTCCTTCCAGAGGATGGGTTGGGCCATATTGGAAGGAAAGCTTGGATTCTGGCTGTTTCTGCTTGCATCTCTTTGACTAAAATCCATCAACTTCTAGAACTGCCAATGTGTCACATTCCATGAGCTTTAAATTATGAATATAAAAAAAAAATCATTTGGTCTTCATTTTAGCTCTCACTTTGCAGAGCCATACAGATATGTAAGCAATTCTTCTTTGCTTAATATTTAGTGTGGGCCACATTTCTTGTGCTCTTGTCACATGCAATTATAAAAACATCTGTAAAATTCATCATGATGAATTATGTTGAATGTGAGTGTTCTGATCACCAGAGGAGACTACTCTGTAATTTTACCAATTCTGCTGTGCTAAGTCAGACTTCTGATCTCATGAGTGGATAATGCTGGCATACATCAGAGGTTAAAGTCACGAAGAGGGGATTCCTTTGCATATTATCAATAGCTGGGGAATTTATGATTCAGAACGTTGTTAGCTCAGTGAACAATGATTCAGTAAAGTATTGATCCCAGCATGATACATCTGTTTGCACTTATGTGGATTCACTTAATTTGATGGATATGGATTATGTACCTGACTCCTATGAAGTGGAGCTTAATTTTCACATATTGTGCTGAAAATTAACTTCTTTTTTTTTAATACAAATGAATACTAAACTTGTGGCTCTGGTGAGTAGGACCCTAGCTCAGGTGCCTAAGCCATAAAATCTGAAGGAAATCAGCTTGGTAGCTGGGGTATTTTGTATACAACTGGTTGTGTGATTCTCTACTCTATTGATTTCAATAAGCTTTGGATCAAGCTCTAGTAGATCAGTCTCTTTAGGATTTGCTGCAGATCATAATGTATGGATAGAGAGGATGTTGCTTAAGCCATAAGGTCTCTGTCTTTGGACTAAATCCTTTTGTTCATGTGCAGGTTGAGCAAACCCAAATCCAAAATCTGAGGGAATCCTCAGCCAACCTCAGTCTGTAGGGCCTCTTAACTGTTACCATGTTGTTTCATTTAAATGGTGGCTTCCATGGTCCCCAAACCCTGGTGAAGGTAGAGATACCCAGTCCTCCAAACCCCTTAGTGCATCAGGAAACAGATGCACATGTGGTTTGTGGGCATCCCTTACTCTGTTTATCCACCTGCCTGTAGAGCAGAATCATACTAGGTCTGTTTATCCAGGGTCCACTAATACAGGACTATACAGAAGAGTGGGCCATGAGGGTGACTTGTGATGTACATACATGATGGGAATAGACAAAAAGGCTTCCTGTAACCAAAGTAAGCCCACAGCACACTGGATAGGACTTTGGCATATCTGTTGGCTGTGCCTTTATATTAAAGATTTAGCCATGATGATAAGTTAAGGCAAATTAAATGTAGGCTCTGTCTCCTTTTTCAGCTGCCAAATGCATCATGAATTTGGGGCTTGTTAGTAGTTACTGTGTCAAATGCAGGGTCTGTTTGGGTGAAAGCAGCTCATTGTCTTTAACAGAAGGCTTCCATGTACACCTGCCAGAAATTCAACACCTTTTACTTGCTAGCTAGATTTCTTCAAAGTAACAGCAATAATTAACTGAAATGCTGATGTTTCGTAGATAGGTTTCAACAAATGTGGAAATACTGAGTCATGCCATACAAGCAAAGACAGTTTTATAAGAAGGAAAAGTATTTGCTCTATGACCACATTGTTAATTAAAGTACTGTTGGTCATAAGCATGGCCAGACTTGGACAATATACTGTTAGGAGTGCAGATTGTGTTGAAATAAAAGAGATGGGAAGATAATGGGGAAAAAAGGGGATATAAACTGTTCTATGACCAAGATTTTTAAGGCAGCCTTACTTGTTAATTGGTTTTCAGTGGTTGCCTGGGCTTCATTTTTATGGCTTGTCAACGTTTAAAATTTCTGTCTATTCACTGCAAAGTCATCTAGTGGAAAGGTGTCCAATCAATGAGCTAGCCCCCTGCTACTGCACTCTGCCAACAAACTTATGTCCTCTTTAACAGATATTTTTTTTCTTTCTAAGCCAGTTGGAGCCATATTAACTCTTTCTCCCTCGCACCCACTTTTAGTGTTTCTTTGTACCTCTTAGTACTTGGGCACTTAATGATTTTCCTTATCCTCTTAGTTGTTTATACTTGTCTTATGACTCCCTCTTGTATATGTTTTTTTTCAAATAGGAGAGAAAAATAATACAAAATTACACCAGCTGTTATTGAAATAACTTGACAAAAAACAAAACTATTATTTACAATCTTTGTTCCAGGGATACAAAAGTTGCCATCTAAACACAGTGACAATGTCTTCCTAATAAATTCCCTCAGACTGAGTGTCTTAGCTCCTGAATGCCCAAACTTTGTCTACCTAAGGGAACAGTGAAAACCCAGTGGTAAAGCTGTAAAATTGGGCAGATGGTTACCATCTTAATCTCTAATGAATTATTGTGGCCAGTGGAATCCCAGCACTTGGGGTTCTGTCTTGATCTGGGCAGTTGGGCCTTGAATTTGGAGACCAGTAGTCTTTAGCTTCACTGTGAGCATATCTATACATGCAGTTATGGTGCCTGAATAAACTGTAGAGCTTATTGCTCCGGAGTTAATTGCTCCTGGGTGCAACATTTGAATGTATACCCAGAAGCAATTAACTCCAGAGCAATAATCTCTGCAGTTTATTCAGGTGTAACATGTAGAGCTTGGGTGGAGCAGCCCTGGCTGGCATGGGGCCCCATGGGTCAGCCTGCCAGCCCAGGGCTGCTCTTCCCAACTCAGTGTGCTGTGAAGGGGCTGGCTGGGGCATGAGGGAGCTTTAGTGTAGGGTTAGCTGGCAGTCATTTACACATGCACTCCTGCAGAATGAATTCATTTACCCCAGTATGTGTAGACGCCGAGGCATTTACTAACTAATTAGTCAGCTATGCAATAAATGTCTCGTGGAGACATGCCCAGTGAGATGCTTTTTGCCATGCCTATGCTATGCTGAAGGTCAGAGCTTGGCTAGTGATTTAATTATAGGACTGAGACTTTGCACATCTGGCTTCTGTTTTTGACATCACCACAAGCTCTAGAAAGCGACTGCATTTCTTTGTTTCAGTTTCCCCAACTGTGAATTGCAGACCACATCAATGTATTTAACTAGCTTTGGTTATCCTCTGATGGCTGGTGTAAGTTGTAATGCTATTTTAGTGTTAACAAATTGCTTTATAGGTGGCTTCTGAGATGCTTCTAATGATCAGTGTTCACCTGTTTATATTCCTTGGCCAAGGATCCAGTTCTGCTTAGATTCAGGCTAAGGCAAATAAAAATTAAGTCTTAAGTATTGTCCTGTTGGAAATACACAGTTTTCATGACATTTTTAACATTATTTCACCATTGCTGTATTACAATTTTGGGAGCAACCAGTTTGGACATCTGTGAGCAGGTCTGAAATCTAAGAATTGCAGTTGTAGGGATTAGGTACAAGCTGAGGGGAAATTGGTTTCAACTCCCATTCCTGACACATGAAGGTGTTGGGTTATCTTTTGACTTTTTATTTTTTGTAGATTAAGGGCTGAAGAGATCACTAAACTTAAATGGGTCCATCACCACTGAAGTCAAATAGACTTATATCTGCTTAAATCAATAGTGAGTTGGGACCTGCATCGATGATAGATCCTTTTAGGAGCACTGTTCATCCACTAAGTGGTTGGCTGATACTAACACCCCACTCCAGATGTGAAATGCAGATTTCTCATGAGGCAATGTTTAAGTCCTGTTGAAATCAATATGAATTAAGTGCCTAAATACCTTTTAAGAATGTTGGATAGAAACTTTTTTTTTGCCTTTCTAGATAGAAACTAGAAATTTTTGCCATGACTAAAGTGGCTAGTTTATTTTCGTATGGTTTTCTTTTTTTGTACATTTTATTGCCATTTCTAAGTGCTAGCCCTCTCTTGAATGCAAACAAAATCAAATAAATCCCTCTGGAGAAGATAAATCCCTAACTGCAGCACAGATTCCATTGCTGTAGTGTTAAAGCCCTTACATAGCAGCATATTTATTCAATAGTCCTTAACTTTTATATAGGAAAATATCAGCGAAATGTATAACAAATGTAAGCTGAAAATCATTTATTTTCCCCATGTGGAAGCACTAAGATTTCTTGGCGAAAAAGCTGATGTGCTGTAGGTGAAATTATTTGGTTTTTTTCACTTGTTGTGGAACATTTCTTTTCCCCCAGCCCTTAAAGGTGAAAAGCTGTAAATGTCTGAGCGCCTACAATATTTATAACTTTCTAAGAGGTAGGGCTTTTTTCATGGCCGCTATATGATGCTATCAAAAATAGATTCTACTTCATAATTGCTTGTTTATGTTGCAACTACAACACTGTTGAAGGGCCTGGTTACTGCCTCGTCATTTCCAAATGAGAATAAAAAAAGATACAGTTTTGCTAAGCATACACAGGACTCTGTCAGCATTCCTGAGCTATGCAAGTTTGTCCACGGCTGTCAAGTAGTTTAGAAGAGTTCCCTCTATGCTGTGAAGTAAACAACATTTAATTAAATTGAGAGGCAGCTGCATCATAAACAAGTCCACCAATACAATTGTACTGTAAACAGATGGTTAGCTGATTTATTTTTATAAGGGATTTTAAGCAGGTTTCTTTTTCTCAGGGCAAGGCAATGATGGTATCAGTGTTTCCATTTTAATTGTCTATTTCCTTCCCAAAAAGTAGGTCTACAGCATCAGGAGAAGACCAAGGAATCTTCTTGGTTCTGAAGTTCACATATAGCTTAACACAAGCTAGAGCTGGAATCCCCACAGCTGGCATGGAGATGCTGCCATGGTTGACTGTTGATACTGCAATGGTTGACTGTTTCAAAGGACTCACTGCTGAAGGGAAGATGAAGAGCCAGCCATTATGCTTTTGCAATTGAGCCTTTTCCTTTTAAGACCATTTCTAGGTCCTAGAACATTGAAGAAAAAAATGCTTTTTTCCCCCTCTTTCCTCATCTGAGCCTGCTGCAGCTGAGCAATCTAACTTCTTTTTTTTGCTCTTCTTACAGTATTTTGTTCAGCCTGATTGTTTTTATGAACTGCTTTGATTGTCAGGAGAAGATTTTGCCTCGACTACAGCATTCATCCTTTCAGGAATACAGTATTTGTATCTCTTTGTGCATCTATTTTTGTAGAAATACAGAAAGCTTGGTTAAGGATCGATGGCAATTTTAGGATGACATATTTTTTTTAAAAAAATTGTAAAATTGTTAAGTTCTGTTTAAAGAACTTGCTCTCAGAGAAGCACTGGCAAAATTGTATAAAATGCTTATTTTTAGATGTCTGTGATGTCTGTATTCGTGGATTCTTTTGTTACCTCATGTGTCTGGGTTTTTATTTTTGGGGGGGATTGGTTTGTTTTGTTTTAGTTTTTTTAAGAGCAAAATCTTGGATAGTCCAAGCATTCATTGTTTTCATATTACAAGATTTTGAAGGTTTTTCCTTTTTATTCTAGTGTAAAATATAATTCACACTTAAAGTTTCAGCCAAATATTTTTCCTACTAGCATTATATTATAGAAAGAGTAGATTTATTTTCTTGCTTTAGAAGATGGCTTTAAGCTATGCTGACTATAAGGAATTTGGGGACATATTAGCAAAGAGAAAAGACTATTTTCACAGGAACCCTATTTCCAGCTCTGTTTCATTTACAATGGACCAAATGAGTCTGGGCCTGATCCAGGGCCCACTGAAGCCAGTGGAAAGACTCTCATTGACATCTGTGGACTGTGCCTTAGGTCCTTTTCCTGTGATAACTATAAATAGCAGGAATTTAGGGCATGTTAAGGATCATGTGTTTTTATGTGGCAATTCAAGAACAAAATTCAAATTTTACAAAAAGTTAACAGTTTCTGGAAGCAAAACGTTTTCAGTCAGCCTGACCTGGTAATCTGTTGAGGACCCTATGTGAGTTCTCAAAAGTCCTATTGGACCCTTGGCTCCTATTAACTTCAGCTTGGGTTAAAGACCTCAAAGACTAACTTCGGAAGCTGGGGGCGCATCTACATGTGTCCCGGACCGTACAATTTGTTTCTGTGCACTCATTTAATACTTGCTAACCTCTGTTACTGCGCAGTCCTCCTAGTGGTGCATAGGTCATTTCTGACTCTATTGTGTGGTAGCAATTTGCTACTGCCCAGTAACTCGTTGCTGCTGTGCAGCAGTGTCAGATCATGGTTTGTGCCCATTGATACTACATCATCACAGCGATGACCTACGTCTCTGTAGCTCATTGCTACAGTGACGTAGCCTCTCATGTAGATGCGCCCTAGTAGACTTAATACTGTGTTGCCCAACCTGAGACTTGTTAGGTCTTTTGTGAGCTGTCATAGATTTCTTGTGGACTCACTAACACTAACAAGAGTCAGACCTTGCAGCTGTCCAGTTGAGAATTTAGATTTTGAACCCACTTTCATAATTTTGGCCAGGGCACTAAGCAAGATGTGCAGGACCTCCATAATGGACCCATGGTAAGAAAGAGCCATATCCAGCAGCTTGCTTACGTGTGTGGAGTCCAATGAAGCTGTGTAACTTCCTGACAAAATGCTGAAGGATTGCTCATTGAAACCCCAATCCTACAGTGAACTCAGTATAACCTCTAAGCAAACATCCATTGTTTTTAGTGGAGCATTTATGTGATACCTATTGTGGGACCAAGGTCAAAACTATTAATGTAATTGTTTAAAATATCATAATTTGTTCAGTGTACCTCTAGGAATGTACATCTCCTTACCCATTTTCAAAATATTCCTATGAGATAATATAATTTTCTTGCCACCATTTCCAACCAAAACATTCAGAAGATAAAAAACAAAGAAGAAATATAACTTCATGATCACCGTTGGTTTTAAGGTAGTGAACATCTTTACTGTGGTGTTGATAGTTGGAAAACACTCATTTTGGAGTGCTGAGCATGCTACATTTTTGTGGAAACAAGTTGGAACTGGTGGTATGAAGAACCTCAAGAATGAGCTTCAGTTCAAAAAGGCACTGAAGGACATGTTTTAATGGTCTGGGACCTTATAAGCAGAGTTTTAAAAGTACTTAGATACTGCAATGCTGAGTGGAGCTATGGTTAAATACCTTTCAAGAGTCTGGGCCTTAGCCTCTACATTCTGAGCCTCCAGTTACATGACCCTTACCATTTCTTCCTAAGACTGAATTTCACTGCCATTACCTTCCTATAAAGAATGCTGGTGCCCTGGCAAACCTGGTTTTTTGCTTACTCAAAAGGGAGATCCTTAGAGGGATAAAGTTAATGTAAGCCTCAAAGACTTAGTTACTGCAAGGGCAGGTTCTCAAGCATGCCAGAAATACCAGGGGCTGGGGGGACACACAAAAACATTTTTCCCTTGAATTTGGCTGGGTCTGAAAGGGGAGGAGACAAAGCATCCCAAGAAAATAAGGAAGAATCTTGGTAACTTTCTGGATTTGGAAGGTGATTGAAGGTGGAGGAACAAAACAAAGCTTATCAAACATCTTGACTTTATCAAAAGTGGTTCACTTATCTCTAGCAATAGTGCCCAATTCATTGCCTCCTTCTTTATAAACATAAAGAATAAAAGGACCTGCTTCTCTTTTCAAGGTAGTTCAAGGTAGAACTCCCAATGACTTAAAATGGAGTAGGACTGAATACAAAGCTTTTGAAAGAAATTTTCCTTATGGTTTCAGATTAGTGAGTAGAAGGAATGAATGTTATGAATCTGTCACCTTTTACTTCCCACATGAAGGACTTTTATACATCCAGTTTCCACTGCTAAACCTGACAATAAATCTAAAACACTCTAGGTGCTCCAAAAGCTCAGGGAGATAAGTGCCAATAAAACCTGTTGTTGTATATAACAGTAAATACACCCAGTCAATTGACTTAAAAAGACAAAAGGTTTTATTTCTCCCACCCTGTTCTCCAGTAAATTGGATTTCACTAGCTACTAAACTGACCCTTTCCTAACAAATGAGTGGGGAAAAAAATCGGAAGTAAGAACTGGAGTGACGTTTGCTTATATATTCTAAAACTTGAAGGACAGAAAGAACCTTTCACATGACAGACCTTTACAGTTGAAGTCAGCAGATTAACTTCACCAAAAGAAGTGCTTATGAGAAGCAGCTGCTGGATTCATATCCATCTTTAAATGAAGACAGTGTTCACTTGCAACACATCAGTTAAGAGCGTCCTGATGGCAGAGAAAATAAAAAGGAAATGTTGAAACTGATTACACTTCAAGGGATAAGAAAAAAGACTCTCTAATCAGTCAGAATCAGTTAGTTTGTCATAAGACATTGCAAAAGGAATTAGTTCATTGCTTTATGGCAAATATTAGTGTTCTCATGAAGGCAGACTGAGGGCCCACATAAATATAAAATACCTTATTTCTGGATGAAGTGGGGAAACAATTTTTTTTCTTGCAGAAATTTTTGTTAATGTATAATAGATAACTGTCAAACTTTATGTAGAGGTTTCTTTCTTTTAAGACCTCTGATAAATGGAGTTTTGGGCATGTCTACAGGTACATATTTAATGCACATTATCCCGGTTTAAGGTGCATTAAAGGTGCATGTCTACTTGTGTATGCCATTAATTCACCTTAAAAATGGTGATTTAAGGCTATTTGAGCCTAAATTTGATACCTGCATAAAGTAGGTATCAAATTAATGTGCAAATAGTTAAATTGTATTAGCAAACATGTAGACGTGCTAACGTGTGTTAATGTGGTATGTGTCCACTGACATGAGACTAAATTTAGACTAGACTTAGGACTAAATTGGGACTAACCCAAGTCGGTCCTTGAACCTGCATTAGTGCGTGTATGTGTGGACGTACCCTTAAATCACCTTAATGCACATTAGGGTAATGCACATTGGGTATTTGTACACATGCTTGTGCCACAGCACTGGCTGCTTTTAAATGTGCCCAGCGCTGACACGCATGTACTTGTATAAGTAGCAAAATGTGCATCAGTACTGAGAAAATGGCAGCGGTGCACAAAGGTGTTTTAGTTTAAAAGAGTACCACCACCATTATTTGTGTGCTGACCAGTTATACAAGTGCATTTCACTGCTTATACAACTGCACACAATGCAGTGCAGTATGCATCAGCTCACATGTGGAGCAGACTTGGTTAACTGAGTCTGGTCCAACCCACCAGATCTCCAGCATGTCGTGGGACAAAAAAGTATGTGTATAAATGCCCATTAAGGTTAGGTGTACATAAAAGCATGTGTAGATGCACCCTTTGTCATGTTTTTTTGTTATCTGTATTGGGCCATTCCTGATCTGTCCATCAGTTTTTTAGGCAGCTCTCTCCTTTGGTTTGATATGGGCCTTTCTGGCTTGAAAACTGATGATTCTTAACTAGCAGATGTACAATTTTGAATAGATTTCTTTGGCAGGAACAAGCCTACTTTGTTCTAATTTTTATATTTGAAGTGCTAGAAATAAACATTAAGCAAAGTAATTGGAAATAGTTTTATAGCTTAGAAATCTACTTGAAACAGTAGAGTTTTTCTCTCCCTTCCTTTGAAATATGCTTTTAAAATCAAAACATTCCCCATAAGTTTTGGTGGTATATATAGGATTCTTGCTTTTTGTCCCCACCCCTCTATACACAGACATTTCCACATGAAATTAATTCAATTTATATGGCAAAATCCAATTGGACTGAAAATGTAGAAATTTGCATTTATGTATGTCATACCCTCAGCATTAGATGAAATTTTCTAGCACATGGAAAGGGATTTTAAATACTCTAGGTAAACTCCCGATTTGTTTTAGCTACAAAGATGACCATGCAGTTAATGGGTGTACGTAAACAGAAATGTGATACGTCTTCATTTGGTGAGAGAGAGCATATAATTAATTGTTGACTGTTTCTTTTGTCTAATTTTCTGGACCACTTCTTTATCTTCAGTAATGGACTATTAACTTACATTTCTTTTAAGCATTTTTGAGATTTTTATTATATTACATTTAAGCAAATGTTCAAGCCTTTTACTATTTTTACTGCTCTTACTGATTTTTTTTTTT